AAAACAAACAAACTTCAAAACCTCTGGAATTAAATAATGGTACAGAAATAATGGCGCATCTGCATAAGAAAAATTACCAGTACTGGGACGGTATGAGGGCTGGACTGGAACAAAAAATTGACCAGGGCATTTTGACTAGAGACCGGCCCACCAGGTATTATAGGAAAAGCCATAAAGCCTTTGAATGAAAACAAATGCTGTTGTGATGTGATGTACACTGTCTTGTTGGTATATGTATGATTTCTATACGTTGTACATCAGATAAAAACTTTGGCTGTAAGATTCAGATAATTATTTATTAAAAGCTAGACATTTTAAATGCGAATAAGAAAGAAAAGTATTTCTTTGTGCCTCCCTTTTCCCTGTTAGTGCCCTACCTGGCCCCCTGGCAAAACTTTGCTAGACCCGCCCCTGCACAGTTACCAGCTGTCAGCTACTTAGAAAAGGATCCTGGTGTTATTTGTCTCTCAGAAACAGTTCATAATGTCCCTTCAACTCATTTGTGTCACCTAAAAGGTAAACCTGTTTCTCCATCACCTGTTCAGCTCTGCTGATTCAGTAAGGACATCTCCTGGTTTCATCTTCATGTTTCCCTCTCGCCACATATCCAAACCGATATCATATCACTATCATAACATCATAGCACCCACCCAGCTGTATAGAAACTCCGTCATGCTAGCTAGTACACAGTACGAGCTATTGTAACTGACTGTAAAAAGTCAGCACAACGAAAATTAACTCTACCTAAACTTGGTTTATATCTGACCCAGATAGACTGCAGGTCATAACTTCTTACCTGAAGTTCAGTTCACCTGATACTCGGACCGGCGGCCGCCTCGGGTCTCTGCTCCTCCTGCCTCCCCTTTCACTCATCCACCTGCTGGCCTCTGTGGAAGCTCCGCCATAGCCACCACCAAATAACTTAGTTATTTTTACACATCGGCCAGCATCTAGCCAATCCACCACCTTACATTGTTTATACCGTTACAACAACAACAACAACAAAACCATCGGCTGTAAAAACGAAAAATCACCATCGGCCCACCGGTGGCCAGTCCAGCTATGGTCGGTATGAGGAAAATTCTTTTTCAGTTCGTCTGAAAAGATGCACTTGCGCTTTGGGAACTTTTAAACATCATTAGGTGCGTTGCTGCGCGCTGTCAGTCCCGTCTGTCAGCGCAGAACAAACGCTCACAACGCAAACATGGGTCCTCTGTCGGAATACAGGAAAACCTCATACACATGTATATGAAGTAAAGACTGGATTACATAGACACTCACTGACCTTCAGCCACACATGAAAGTCCTTTATGGGGGAGGTAAAGTTTAGGGTGACCAACCGTCCTCTTTTCCCCGGACATGTCCACTTTTCACGTTCTGTCCGGGGCGTCCGGGGGGATTTTCGAGATGGATTGTACATGTTACCAATATAAAATAAATAAATGAAGTAAAGAACTGAGGATTGGAGTGGATTATTTTTATTTACATTCACAGCACTGATTAAAGCAGATTAAATAAGTTTACTCATTTAAAGATAGCGAGAGCAAAGCTGTTTCTCAATGTGTCCACCAGGTGGAGACACAGCTCCACCTGGTGCTGTGTAGTCTGGCGCTCCAGCAGTTGGAGCTTTTAGTGTGAAAGGCAAAGACAGGCCTTTTGGCACATGTGCAGATGCAGTTCGCCTGGTGTGAGAGTGGAGCCAGCTGAGGTTAGAGAGCAAGGGAAGAAGAAGAAACTGAGCCTGTTGGATGGACATGGAGCTTTTACACAGGTGTGACGTGCAGCAGGTCCTTAGGTGTTCACTCCCAGCCTTGCTCAGCCTGTCTGCTCAGGTTCAAAGAGAGGTTGGAGAGCTCTCAGAGTTACCTGTGACAGGTGAGCATGAAGCTCAGGGACACAGACAGACTGACAGTAAGAAGCAGCAGTTTCTCACATTTGTGCGTTTCACTTCTTAACTAGTGATGTTCGATTCGTGAACGAATCGTTGAATACTCCAGAATCACATGACAAGTGAATCATGATTCACAAGCCCAATTGACTCACTGACTCATCATTGTTGTTGTTAGCAAACTAATTAGTAGGAATATATCTAGCTTATAATTAAAATTGTGGGGGGAAAAAACAACAGCCAGTTTCGTAACAAAAGCATTTCTGCTCTGAACTGGAAGAAAAAACCCTGAGTAGAAGCTCACATCAAGAAAATAGCTCCTCGGTTCAGAGTAGCATCGCGCTGCTAACATGCTAACAACACATTTGAGATACTCACCCCCTCCCTTCCTGTGCTGAATCGTAAGCATAAGCGAATCACTCAGGACTCGCTCACCCCCTCCCTCCTGTGCTGAATCATTTCTGATCTGGCATTGTCATGGATAAAATCATATCTTTCCGAAAGGAGTTTTTGTGTCAAGCTGGGGCTGGCCGCTTCCTCTGTGGCCCCTCTGCTTTGGGGTGTGCCCCAGGGATCTATCCTTGGGCCATTACTTTTCTCGCTGTATTTACTCCCCCTTGGTGCGATTTTTCGTAAACACGGAGTGTCATTTCATTTGTATGCCGATGACTGTCAGCTTTACTTACCTTTTAGTCATTTGGATACCTCCCCATGTCAATCACTGCTTGACTGTCTTAGCGATATTAAATTATGGATGGCAAATAATTTTTTGAATTTTAATGGTCGCAAAACGGAAGCAATTTTATATGGCCCGCATCGTTCTACTGATTCTCCAGATGTTGATTTTGGTGATTTGACCTCTCATCTGAAAAGTTCAGTCACTAATCTTGGTGTTAAACTTGATTCTGCGCTTACTTTTGAAGGTCATGTAAGTGGGGTGGTAAAATCAGCTTTTTATCACCTCAGACGCCTGTCGAAGGTTAAGCCTTTCCTTTCCAAACCCAATTTGGAAACTCTTATTCATGCTTTTATCACCTCACGTCTGGACTATTGTAATTCCCTTTTAATAGGGGTCGGGTCGGGCACCTTGTCACGCCTGCAGTTAGTGCAAAACGCGGCGGCGCGATTTTTAACCGGTAGTAGGAAATTCGATCACATCACTCCGGTTCTGGCTTCCTTGCATTGGCTTCCCATTGATTTTAGGGTTCGTTTTAAGGTCCTTTTATTGGTTTTTAAATCTTTAAATGGTCTGGCTCCTGTGTACTTATCTGACTTGCTGAAGCCACATGTTCCTCCTCGCTCGCTCCGTTCAGCTGAGCAGCTGCTGCTGTCGGTCCCTAAGTCGCGGCTGAAATGCAGAGGAGACCGTGCCTTTTCAATTGCGGCTCCGATGCTCTGGAATAACCTTCCCCTCCAAATTAGACAAGCGTCATCAGTGCAGGTCTTTAAGTCCAGATTGAAAACCTATTTTTATTCCCTGGCTTTTAAATGGTAAATGGCCTGTATTTATATAGCGCTTTACTAGTCCCTAAGAACCCCAAAGCACTTTACATATCCAGTCATCCACCCACACATTCACACACACTCACACACTCACACACTGGTGATGGCAAGCTACATTGTAGCCACAGCCACCCTGGGGCGCACTGACAGAGGCGAGGCTGCCGGACACTGGCGCCACCGGGCCCTCTGACCACCACCAGTAGGCAATGGGTGAAGTGTCTTGCCCAAGGACACAACAACCGAGACTGTCCGAGCCGGGGCTCGAACCGGCAACCTTCCGATTACAAGGCAAACTCCCAACTCTTGAGCCACGATCGCTCCTACAGGCTTTTAACTCTGTAGGAAACTGACACCTTCTTATTTATTTTATTGTTTGTAATGATTTTATGGTATTTTTAATTTGGTTGTTGTTTTGATCTGTGTTGTTCAGCACTTTGGTCTGCCTGGTGTGTTCTTAAAGTGCTATACAAATAAACGATGATGATGATGATGATGAATCATAGAGCGAACGAATCACTCACTCACTCACTCACTCACTCACTAACCCCCTCCCTCCTGTGCTGAATCATAGAGCGAACGAACGAATCACTCACTCACCCCCTCCCTCCTGTGCTCACAGCTTCTTCTTCTTCGTGGTTGGCAACCAATGTTAAGGCGCATTACCGCCACCTGGCTCACAGTGCAGTGGACATTTAGATGAGAAAATATATATTTGACACACTTAACACTAGGAGTCCCAGGCTTCTACCTTTCTACCTTTAAAACCCACCACCAGCCAAATGGCTGGTAGGCTTTTAGCTAGGCTTTAGCTTCAGCCAAGTGGAAGCTAAATTGGCTAGTCATTCATATGTAAATTAGGTTGTTAGCTGGGAATTCTGGAGGGAGGGGAGTGGGGGTGTGTGGATGAGGGGGTGGGGGAGCTGCTAAAAGCTGTGAACTTCCTTTTGTGTTTCATCTTGATGCATTCTCAATCATCCAGGGAAATAAATCTCCAAAAGTCACCAACTTGGAGTGTTTCAGTTTGCTTAATTTTAGAAATATTTTGCTCTTTTTTTTCTCTATAAAATAGTTTGGTTTTTTTTTTAATCATTCATCTTAGCAGTGGGATTTACATGAAAAGGGAAACAAATTAAGTTTGAGTGAAAATGTAAAAATTTTTGCACTCTCTGGTCAACTGACTCAGTGAATCAAATGACTCAAAACATCCGATTCACTTTGGTGAGTGAGTCATTAACACTCGATTCAGTAAAAAGAATCAAATTTACCATCACTATTCTTAACACAGACGTTCAGTGACCCCACAGAGGAAGCTGCAAGTCTGAGAATCCTTTCAAAGTAAAATATTTAACATGTGGTCTGCTCACAGTTCAGACCTTTCAAAGTAAACCTACAAACACACCTCTGAGCTGTGATGAGAGTCTGACTCAGGTGTGCTGTAATCATCTGTGTGTCCACAGAGCTGCAGTCACCTGCCTCGTCTTCATCGTCTCACACACAGGTGAGTATCCATCTGTTCTTTCATCAAACAGGAAGACTTTAAATTCAACGCAGCTATGTAGAGTCCAGTAATCAGATTGCAATTACTGATAAGACAGATGGGTAGGCTTTGTCTCTGTTGTGTTTTAAATGCAGTGCAGGTTTATCCACTCTGTTTTTCCACTCTCTCTTTTCTCCAGTGTGCTGATGTTTCTCCTGAAGCCTTCGTTACTCACTGTCTTTACTCGTCATTGGTTTTGGTGACGTTTGGTGATGTTGGTGCGTCTGTGTGACGTCACATGATACTAAAGCAGGAGAGGAGTTTAGTATCTTGGTTTAGAGAGGAACGGGAGATTAGCGGATGGATTAGCGTGGAGTCTGAAGTACTGGGTCATCGTGGTGAAGAGAGAGCTGTGGGTGAAAGATAACCTAATCATTCAGAGGGTCTCAAGGTAGAGCTGCCGCTCCTCCACATCAAAGGGAGGCAGTTGACTTTGTTCAGGCATCCGACTGGATGCTGCTCTGACTCCTCCTAGACGAGATTTTTCAGGTATGTCCTCCTTTGCAAAGTCTGTAGTGCAGATCCAAGACACACTGGAGAGATTATGTCTCTCAGCTGATTTAAGTGTGATCTAAGCTGGTGTGGGAAATCTACGTTGTAACATACGAAACCCCTTTTAACGCTACACTATAACCTTCCATGTCACTCATCCATTAAGGTCTGTGTCGACCCCACGTTACGTTTTTCTGAGATTACGTGTCAGGTAACCTCCCTCAGCATGGTCTCGATGCTTGCTGTTGTGTTTGTGTGTCTGTCAGTGAGCAGTGTGGTGCATGTGTGCGCCCCGGTTGGAGGTGAAGTCCTGCTGCAGTGCGTCTGCCCCGAGCTGCGGCGCCTGCCTCACAAAGTCGGTGTTTTCTGGAGGAACAGAGAGGACCGGACTGTGCTGGACATCATCCTCAGCAGCCCTTATGTTCGCTTCCAGCATCACCTGTTCAGAGGGCGAGTGCAGAGCTTTCCTCACACCTGTAACCAGGGAAACTTCTCCATCCTCCTGAAGCACCTGCAGCTGTCAGACAGCCGCAGCTACACCTGCTTCATCCCACAGCTGAAGCTCAAGGAGACTATCCAGCTCACTGTGTCAGGTTAGCTCCTCCTCCTCTCTGAGCATGTTCACAGCTTTGTTGTCGTGTCCCTCTGAGCTCCTCTGCTCTTTGCTCCTGATGCAGATCACTGCGTGTCTGAAGCTCAGAGGACTCCAGGACCTTCATCTGCAGACTCCAGCTTCACGGCAGGTTACCTTCATCTCACCACCAGCCTCACGCTCCTCATCTTCCTCCTACTGAATCCTTGATAGGAGCGAGGCCTCGAACACAGACTGAGCTGGACTCTTTCTTTATTTAAAGACTAAATACTTTTATGGTGGCCCCTAGAGACAAAGCACACTTTCACTCCACATTAAATGTAATAAATAAATCATATAATTACATTTAATGTGGAGTGAAAGTGAAAGCTTTGTAAATTTTCGCTATCTAGAAAGCTAAAATTTCCGAAGAAATTTTAAGTGTGCCTATGCTACTGCCAGATCAGTTGTCCAAAGACATCAGGATGTATGTATTTGGAGCAAAAAACTAACAGAAAAACTGAAACATATTTAGTAGAAATATGTACACATGAGAAATATCAATATTATTTCTTGGTTTTTCTCTTAAATAAATGGACTGGGGTGTAACAGCGACTTGCTTTGTTATGAAGGCCAAAGTGATGCTCAATGAGAACAGAAGAAGAAGACTCTAAAGACCACTGATCTGTTATTAATCTCTCACAGGTCAGAGTTGTTTCTTACAGGATCCAGCAGATGGCGATAATCCTCCAGAACACCAATTAAAAAAAGCATCTCGTACATGTTTGTTGTGTTTGGTTTTTGATATGATCACATGATGGCACCACGAGGCTGAAAGCTTAAACTTCAGCTCAGTGTGATCTCTGGTGAGATTTCAACTGCGTCACTTTTGTTTTTATAACGTAAAGAAATCAGATGTCTGAAAAGTCACTGAGAAAGATTTTAATGACATCCGTAAGTATTAAATTAAAGAAAAACAATTAACTTAAACTTTTGATTAAGACCTTCTGACACATTTAAATACTTTCACTCCCATTACAGTTAGTACCTGTAAAGTTTGGGTTGTGTTCAAAAGACTTTAAATCATCCTAACGTGTGTTTTAAAGAAAAGCTCTAGCTGAATTTTAGAACTATTTGCTAACAACACAATGAAAGAAGTAAAGGTGAATGATTCATTGTTGAAAACAGAAAAAAATGAATAAAAACAAAAGAGGGAGAGTTTTTTTTCCCCTACATTTTCCACTTTTACAGAACGCAAAAGCCAAATATTATTAGTACTAAGTAATAAACACTGTTTCTTGTTACTACTTTACAACTACATTCTAAAAATAAATATTAGGAAACTGTAAAAATTAAACAAGCTAATAAATAAACCATATAAAATACTGACAGATAAAATCTAAGGTATAAAAGTTGCGAGAACACACAAAGTGAAGTAAATCAGTGACAATGGAAGCAATACAACATTTGGATTAACTGATATGAGCAAAAAATGTCAAAATAGCTTCAAGTGTCTTGTTTTGGTTTGATAACAAAAAAACCCTTAAAATCAGTCAAGTTTTCCCCTCTTATAAATTGGTTCAGCTCTTTGTGCCACCTTTAAAGTTTCACACACATCTGAGGTTTGCATATTTGAGCTCCCATAAAGACCGCTTAAATGTAAAATATGTAGGTAAACATAAAGTCCTACCAGAATTGGCCCAATGAGGGAAAATAAAGGATGTTTCTATTTCTATTCTAAACCAAGTGAAGCTTAACGATTGTTTATAAGGTGCTCAGGCTGCCAGCCTTGAGGATATTTTCACATATTTGTTTTAGAAACAGCAGCAGTGGTGGTAAATATAACAAACGGCATATTTTAGGTGTCAACTGTCATTTTGTTAATAAAAGGTTATTTAAACAAGGCATGAAGACTATCCTTAAACAGAGAAGCACAACAACAAGTCCTCTTTGCCTACTTTAAAGAGCTGAAGAGCACAAGCAGAGGGGCAGAGAGGAGAGAAAGGTGGTGTTTGGAGGTCGTCACTGCTGCACCACGAGTCGTAGGAGGCTCAGGATGTGGAGTCGTTATTTTAACAGCAGGTTTCACTGCAACACAAAAAAAACAATCATCAGTTTAATAAGAACTGAACATAAAGAAACACTAAGTTGTTTGATTTTAAGGAAGGAAGCCTAAATCTGAAAATTATGGGCATTCATATAGGAATCTCTGAAACATTGCTGCTGCTGATGTAAAAAAATAGAAACATTCAGCTACTTTGTTTCTGTACAGCTTGCAGATCACAGCAGATCACCCGCAGTGCGATCTCTGTCTGGTGCTAACACAGTAAAAAAAACACATCCTTTGACCATTAGTTCAGATGTTTCCTGTTTTTTCACTCTGCTTTTAACACTACTGCAGCTCTTTAGCTGAACCTCACACTCAAATACTGATCGACTGATGATCGGATCGATTAGAAACAAACAAAAACAAGCAAGAAAACACCTTTAAGCAGACTGAGTTTGATCACAAACTGAACAACAATCATACAAAACACCCACACCTGCTAAAGGATCATTTGGTTCCACTCATGAAAATTTAATCTGTTAACGTTTGTCCACCTTCCACATTTGCCTGCTGCTATGTCTTCAAATAGGATCTAATGTCTATTTTTTCTACATATGGTTACAAAAGAGCCAGAACAGTTTCTGTGGGATAGTCTTAAATATGCTGCTGATTAACCCCTCCACTGTGCATTTAGTGGGAGGGGGAGTGGATTCATAAGGAGGCTTTTTGTGCAGCAGTCAACTCTTTGTGAGCTTGAGGCTTCATCGACACTTACTGTGAACAGTTTCTGCAGTAAATCAGACTTAAAAAGGAAACCTGTCCTGACTGTCTGACCTTCATCCATCCATTTCTACTCACTAATCACTGCAGCTTATCCTTTTCTGCTGCTGCTGCACAAACACTGAGGTGTTCCTAATGAAGTGCTCGTGCTGCCAAACTGACCTGTGACCTTCAGAGTCATCTTGGTCTGATAGTCCACTTTGGGGATGTTGCAATTGTACGGGCCGGCGTTGTCCGCCCTCAGGCCCTTTATGAGGATGGAGAGGTTTCCAGTCTTGTATTGGTCTGGGAAGCTGACCACACGACCTTTAAACTTTGGATCTATTTTATGCTCTTTGCTTTCGATGATGTCCAACACAACTTTGTCATCCTTGTCCCTCCAGAAGGCAGTGACCGGCTCGGACAGCTTTTCAGAGTAGACGCAGGGCAGCAGGACCTCACCACCGATGAAGTCGGTCCTCACAGACTGGCTGCTGGCTGCAGGACGACAGGACAGGTGAGTTACAGGTTACCTGTGCACAGCTTCACCACAGCTCTGTGCTTTAGCTCACTGTGTGCAAAGTGAAGAACTCAGCAAACCCTCTTGAATTTCTCTAAATGTGCAGAGAGGCCAGTTTCACAGGGTTTGTAAACATGAAGACATTCTTGATAAAACAATCTGGAAACCTCAATCTCGCACATTCTGTGCATTGAAAGCAGACAGGTGAGGTGGTTTTGTTAGATTTTGTTCTGGGCAAACCCAAATGGACGAGACCCTGGGGTAGACCCAGAACCTGCTGGGGAGATGATCGCATCTGTCCTGTAAACATCTCGAGATCCACCAGTAAGAACTGGATAGTGTGGCTTTGGAGCAGTATTTATAAAATCTCTCTATCATCATTATCTATGTTACAAAAAAGGACAAGGAAAATCCAAAACTTTGGTTAGAGAGATCATAATGAATGATTCTTAAAAATAAAAAAACACTTAAATTCACTCACCAATTCATTTTTAACTCCAAAAATATGTATAAAGCAATAAACAGCCAACTTCCTGATAATATCCTAAAATTGGTTTTTAAAATAGACGGGGGACACAGTTTGATGGAGGCAGTTATATTTAAACCATCCCTGTGTCCACACTACACTACAAACTGTCTCTTAATGTGGAGTAATGACAGGAAGCAATGTGGAACCAAGAAATATGTTTGTCTGTAGCACCAACCGTCTACACTCCTAGTCTATTTCTGATGTAATGTCCTTAACCAGTGTGTCAGACGACCACCCACCAGCATGCACAAGCTCTTTAATCTAATTTACATTTTTAGTGCTAAAATATAATGATTGATGTTAATAATATAGCTTTTAAATGTATCATTTTACAAAAAACGGGGAAAAAATAACTGCAGTAATACACTCTAAGAACTAAAACTGATAATTACTTAAATATTTTGGTGCAACACTTTTACACTCAAAAATAATGAGTAAATGCAAAAACAATCACATCTCTTAAATACACCTTATTGAGTAAATCCAACTAAAATGGAATAAGTTGTTATGAACAATTAAAGATGTTACAGTAACATACAAAATTGAGTAAATACACTTGAAAATGTAAGTTAAAACAACAGTAACCAAAAGTTCAAACTACATAAAATATTAATTAGGAAATGCTGAAATGCTTGGCACATTTAACCTACACCATTACAATTATTTGTTTTTAAATAATGGTTCAATTTACTTAATATTTTTAAGTAAATTGTTAAAAACGTTAATTACAATTAAGTGTGTGTGTGTGTGTGTGTGTGTGTGTGTGTACGTGTGTGTGTGTGTGTGTGTGTACACACACACACACACACACACACACACACACACACACACACACACACACACAAACACACACACACAAACACAGGAAAAAAGAACCACATCAGTTCAACATTGTTCACAATGATTTATTTTAAACAGCTTTTTTGTGAATCACACATTTAGCAGATTCCTTCTCTGAACACAGTGAGCTGAAATCTGTTCTACATTCAGTGGATAAAACTTGGATAAAATTTCAGTCACAACAGCCTTATATAATAAAATTGCATCCAAATTGGCATGCTTGATAAAACTCTGTAAAACTGGCATATTGATGCTAACAACAAGAAAAATGTACCTGCCATACAAAGAATAAAAGTGGCTCAAGTGAACGCAGTGCTTTAACCTTTTCAGAAAAGGTCAAATGACAAAAATAAAATTAAGATCCCAAAAAAATATAAATCCTGAAAAAAAACAAAAAAACATTTGCACTGTGACATAGTTTTTGAACATCTTATTTTGAGTCCAAAAAATTGGGAAGATTATAACTAAAGAGTGACCAAAAAACATCCATAATTTAAATAAAAAGGTTTAAAAAAGGATTGCGAAAAGAAAAAAAAAAAAACATACAGAAGATACTCTCTTCTGTATGTTCACCTTAATGTGAATCTGGAAAAGTTAATACACACATACAAACACAGTTTATGGTACAAACATTATTTATGAACAGGAATGTCAACACAATGTAATGTCGCAACTGAACCTTTTGATGAGCA